TTTTCACCATTTTAATCTTTCATTTTTCTTTTTTCTTCAATTATATAGAATAAAATTAAATAACTTTATATTTTTATTCATTAGTTAGTAGAACTATTATATTAATTATTATTTCTGATTTAAAATAGATATCCATGAATAATCGATATCTAACAAAAACAAATCGAATCACAAATACTGTATTTTTTATCTCTGATCCGCTATGCCCAGGCTTAGGAAGCAGTGAAATTAAAATAGAAAGCCTTGACCGATTAAGCAGGTGGCCAAACCCCAACCACTGTTATATAGAAATGTCTCGCCTAAATGTCCGAAATACGTCAAAATCCCAACCTCTCACACAGTAACGACAACACATCACACGCGCTCAGTACCGCACGTGTAACAAACGCGATCACACGTGAGTCGTGACTTCCGTTTACGCTCCGCAAGTAACATCCACACGCTTTATATTCTCTTCTCTAAAACATCACTCATACGTACACGCACAAGCGTTACTCTTTTTTTCTTTGCTCTTTTCAACTCTATCCCTTATATATTTGGCACGTCTCTGCTTTCTTTATAAATAAAATCGGAATAATTATTTGAGAAAACGCATGCTTTTTGTTTTTATTTTTAATATCGATAAAATAAAAGATAAGGAAGAGACTTTGTCTCTTTTTGTCAGCAGCAGCAACGTGAAGGTATGCTCTGAATCTGTAACAAACGATAATCCAATATTTTTCTCGGGATCCAAAACTCAATATATTCGTTTGATTACTGATTACTGTGTTTGATTATACGTAAGGTCAGGATTTGATTTAGAGCAATGACGAAAGTCTTCGAGGCGGCTGATGCGACTAATTTGATGACGGAGCTTCGTCGGAGCTTTGATTCCGGTGTGACTCGCGGTACCGAGTGGAGAGTATCTCAGCTTAAGAAACTCCTCATCATTTGCGATAATCACGAGCCTGAGATCGTCGCTGCTCTCCACCACGATCTCGCTAAGCCTGAGCTTGAGTCCTCTGTCTACGAGGTCAATACTCACTTTCGAATCTCACATGCCTTTGTTAGTTTTGGTTGCATAAGTTAAATCTAGTCGTCGACTTTTGGATCCGAATTTGAGATTCAATTACAAATTTAAGATTGCTCTGATTCAACTAAGAAAAGGTGCGGTGGCCGAGGTGTTTGGTTCCCTTGTGTCCTGCGTTTAAACTTTCGAAGATTATGTTCCAAAGGTTCGAAACTCTCATAGTTTATGAGAAGAAAAAAAACTAAGAAGTCGGATTCGATGAATATGGTGTGGCCAAACTTGTGTAAATTCGATTAGCCTATTGTTCTGTAAGACCGTCTCTAATGTATTTCTCTATTTTAATCTCTAAAATATAAAAAATTACAACATTTCTCTATTTCTTCGTGTCTTTACTTTAGATGAATTGCTATAATATAGAGGAAAGATAGCAATTCTTCACTTTTACCTCTATGTATAGAGGAATACTACAATTTGTTTTATTTTAGAGGTAGAAATAGAGGTGGATTGGAGTAAATTTTACTCTAACTTTTGGTCGGTGTCATTTATATCTATCACATAGTTGTGTGTATAATCTTGTGTTGGGACACTTGACCAAAACTGTCCAATAGACTTAAATGCAGCTTTTTCATGTGTGTTATAGGATCAACCTAGACTTGCAATCAACTTTTTGTTACTAGGAATCAATACTATAATAATTATTTCTGGTCTTCCTGAAAGCAACACGCATTTAATTCCTTGTGCCTACTGTGAAACGTAGACATTAATTCTTTCACCAACCTGTAATTGTCTTTTGGGATCATCACCACGTTTTTTCATTACCTTAACTTCGTTTCATCCAATAACAATCACAGAGGTTTGGAGAAATGGACCACTCTCATTTAATGTTACCAACAGATATTGTCAGTTTGAGTTGATTAGTTTCTGTGGCTGCTCCGATATTGTTTGGCTTGTTTTATTGGTCTATTATTTTTCCTCTATAGTCACAACATGTCTGGTCATTAGTTTTACAAGCTGTAAATTTGACTAGACCAATATATTTTTATTACATGGTGTTATATTATTATCACGTGTTAGCTAATTATGCGGCGGATGCAGGTAGCTCTACTGAGAAACTCGATCAACTTAGCCCTTAAGCAGCTAAAAGTATGGATGGCGCCAGATAAGGTGTGTGTTTTGAATAAAGGTTTATGCAGAGTAGTCATTTCTGTTTTCTTGTTAATCATTGTTCAGTTGTTTTTTTTTCTTTCAGGCAAAGACTTCTCTAACAACGTTTCCTGCATCAGCTGAAATTGTCTCCGAGCCTCTTGGAATTGTGTTAGTAATCTCGGCTTGGAATTATCCCTTTCGTATGTCAGACATCCCTCATTTTGATTCGAGTTTTCGCTCTATTTCGTATGCCTTCTGACACCATTAACTATGTTTCTTGTTTCCTTCAAGTGTTGTCTATTGATCCTGTTATTGGTGCAATTTCTGCTGGGAATGCTGTTGTCTTAAAGCCATCAGAATTGGCTCCAGCTTCGTCCTCTCTGCTCGCAAAGTTAATGGAACAGTATCTAGACCCTTCTGCTGTGAGAGTTGTTGAAGGGGCTGTTACTGAAACAACTCTGCTGCTGGAGCAGAAGTGGGACAAAATCTTTTACACAGGTTCATATTTTCTTGGCTTAATATGTTTCATTTCAAAGTTATTCCTCAAGTGATTCATAGAAAAGGATCAGCACTTTTTAGGAATTTGTTGAGTGAAGTTGCCATGGATTCATGCGCTCATATATGGTGATATTGTAGAGTTTTAACCAAATATGTAACCACACTTCTATAGAAGTGAATGCTTTCAGGAGACTAAACATTCCCACTCTCTTTGCTTGGTTAGGTAGTTCAAAAATTGGGCGTATCATAATGACTGCAGCTGCAAAGCATCTCACACCAGTTGTCCTGGAGCTTGGAGGAAAATCTCCAGTTGTTGTTGATTCAAACACCAATCTGAAAGTATTAAATACTACTCTTCGCAGTTTTTTTCCCATGATTTCTTCATCTTTGAGGCATACAGTGTGTTTTGTTTCTACTGGAGCTAATGTAGTTTGCCTGAAAAATTCATATGTATTCTTTTGTATACAAAGGTTACTGCCAAGCGGATAATTGCAGGCAAATGGGGTTGCAACAATGGACAGGCCTGCATTTCTCCAGACTACATCCTGACGACAAAAGATTATGCTCCAAAATTGGTAGGTTAAGAAGTTAAAATAGATCCATGATGCACTTATTTGTTTGTACTTGATCTTCTCTTTTCTCTTGCCAAGATTGATGCCATGAAGCATGAACTGGAAACATTTTACGGGAAGAACGCTATGGAGTCAAAAGATATGTCACGTATTGTGAACTCAAATCACTTTGATCGCCTGTCTAAGATGCTAGAGGAGAAAGAAGTTTCTGACAAAATTGTCTGCGGGGGTCAAAAGGATAGAGAGAACCTGTGAGTTCCTCTCTTTATATTCTCATCATCATTGACGATGACAGCATTACCCTTTATGCTAATCATTTGTCTCCATCCTTCAGGAAAATTGCTCCAACGATCTTGCTCGACGTACCATTAGACTCTCTGATGATGAGTGAAGAAATATTTGGCCCTCTCCTCCCAATCCTCACGGTAGGAATCATTTTTCACTCTATAAATGCTCTGGTTTATCTCAAGATCTCTAGCTTCATCAACTCGGATTTCACGCGTGACATTCCTCACCCGATTATATGTTTTGATCTTGCGCCAAGATAGTGAAAGTAAATCTAACGATCTATTTTGTTCTGCACAGGTCAAGGATTTGGAAGACAGTTTTGACGTGATTCGTTCTCGGCCAAAGCCTCTTGCTGCATATTTGTTTACCCAAAACGAGAAGCTGAAAGAGAGATTCGCCATGACAATTTCTGCTGGAGGCATAGTTGTCAACGACATAGCTGTTCATGTAAAAACCAATAGTTTTATCTCTGACATACACAAGCTAAATACATGCACACTTAGCAATAAATCATTATAATAAAAACTCTCTATCATCATCTGAAAATATATACAAATATTTGCAGCTTGCACTTCCCACGTTGCCATTCGGAGGAGTTGGTGAGAGCGGAATGGGTTCCTACCATGGTAAATTCTCATTTGATGCGTTCAGTCACAAGAAGGCCGTTCTCTACAAAAGCTTTATGGGTGATTCAGCAATAAGGTATGCACCCTACTCTAGAGGAAAGCTTAGATTGTTAAAGGCCCTAGTCAACACCAACATATTGGAAGTATTCAAAGTCCTCCTTGGATTATCTTGAAACGTAACTTCATCATTTGTATCTTACTTTCTTTGTTTTCGGATACGAACTTGGTTTTCAAAGATATATATGAATTGGTTGTGGATGAATACTGAAGTGTTGATGAATATTGATGTCGATAAATAAGTGATTTTCGATTGATATGAGAACCGGTTTCTTCGTTTCAACACTTAGTTGTTACAAACAAAGATGACAGAGTAAGAGTCTCTTTGGATTTTAACTAAACGATGTTGCAAAAGCTCCCCTAAAAAGGGTGAAAAAAAGACAGTAGCAACCAATCAAGAAGAATACTGAAGGATGCTCTGAATCTCTTCCCTTTGATCATCCGTAAGTCGCTGTGGAAACTTAGTCCGAAACCGAACTCTCAAATCTCCTCTTCTCCTCCCTCTCTCCTTTGGATTTGGCATCCCTTTCCCTTGAATCACTGTAACATAGCCAGGGTGAATAACATCTTCTATCTTCAAACAAATGGTGTCACCATCAGGTAAAGCAACAGAGAGCTCGCATCCCGTCAAGGCTTCAAGGAGAGAGACTTCCACCGCCATTACTAGGTCATCGCCTTCTCTTGTAAACACCTCATGCTCTTTCTCCACTATCACGAATGTCAAATCGGCTGGTACACTCCCCATTGCTTCGTTTCCTTTCCCTTCAAATGTTACTTTGGTTCCTCCTTTCCATCCCGGTTTCACTTTTATTTCCACCGTCTCTTCTTCCTCGCTCATTTGCCTACACAAGTATTGAAAGAAAAAAAAGCTTTTAAGTTAGTCTCCTTTTCCGTGTTCCAACTTAAAAGGTCTTTGGTAAAAGAAACAAACCCTGAGCTGGTGGTCACATCTCTCTTGATCTTGATCTTCTTGGTGCATCCGTTGTATAGCTCCTCGAGCGTGCAGCTAAGTTTCTCTTCCGTTGGATGAGGTTTAGCGACTTTGGCGGATGAGCTCGAGTACAAGATAGGGCTTGCGAAGCTCCTAGGGATTGTGCTTGTCGATCTCATGAGTGAGGGCATAGCTTTATCTGCTCTAGCAGCGGAGGAATCCGTCCTATTGCAGCTGCTTTTGCTCCTCCCTACAAAGGATAAACTCCGCAACGTGGTGGTGGTGGGTGCGGCCGTGTTCTGGCTACAACTTCTTGAAAGAGATGATGCCTTCTTGCTCCCCACGTAACTGTTGTTGTCGAATCTGTAGCTACGAACCTTGCAAAGACCAACAACATTACCACCACCTTGCACCGCCTTAGCTTCCTTTAAACAAAAAAAAAACATTACCAAATTTAACATATTCTCTAAACAAAACCATTCATGTAGTAGCCAATTGTAATATCATATATTACCTCGAAACTGAAGGCAGGAGGGTCATTGGGGACGTGGAATTTAGGACGTTCATCAATCTGTTTTTGTTCGTGTTTAGCCTTATGGTTATGATTAGGCTTGTCACGAGGCAAAACCCTTGAGATTGATCGGCAAAGTCTGAAGAGATCACGGAGGAGGAAGCTCCGTTTCTTCGCCGATGGCTGAGCCACCCCTTGTGTTGCCATCCACGGCG